TTTTCAATGTCAAATTTCTAGACTCGAATTCAGCAAACGTGCATGTTACCATATTATTCATTAACATGGAATTTCGCGGCACATTTCACGTGGTAGACTAAGTGAAGATTTTTACGAGGCAGCACAGTTCACTGCTGTGAAATACAGAGGTTCCTGTTGATTTGAAAGGAAAGAAAGATTCTAAACCTACTAATATCCTTTGAAAAGCACGCGATTATTTTCGCCCGCTAAATTTTAAAGAAGTGTGTTAAGTGTTAGTAACATTTGGACCCAGCCACCCGCAATTGAACCAAATCAATCAACCCATTACTTTAACTGTTCCCACGGCTCGTACTTCACATCATATCGTAAACAATCAAAACGATTTACAAAACTGTTTAGGTAGGTTTGAACCTGAACTCGAATTTAGTTGTTTTTCGCCCAACGATGCTTCGTATAAACTCTTAAAAGAATTTTAATTAAAAAGTGTAAGTGTTTAAAAAAGGCCGGGGCCAGTGTCAGTAACAACTATTACAAGTTGGTAAAGAAGTAAATACACTAAGTTGTAGAAATAATGATGTTGAGATTTTTGTTCTTGTTTTGCTCTGAAGTCATAAAAAGTGTTTTGTCTTTGATAACGTCTTGGTTGGTCATCCGCAGAGTGAGATCTTTATAAACTTTTTCATGAAAAGAGGTGTCAAAAAGTCGCCGCAAAGCTCGTTTTGGTAGTGGTCGGCCCCGAACAACTACTCCGCCGCCTTCTGCGATCGCTTTCACAACTAAAACCGGACAGATTTTGGAAAGATCAAAACGGTACTGCAGACTTTGTTAAACTCAACTCAGCTGAGTTTGTAATGATAATTGGCCATCTAAAAGAGTTTCTAAAGCTGACGTTTCGAGCTTTATCCCTTCGTGAAAGTGAATGGAGGAGTTGTTTGTGAGTTTGCTGTAAAAGTTTGTCTGATGTGTTTGAGAGTTTGATATATTTTCGATGGCGAATCTTCAATCTATTATCAATTGTGGACTAGGTAACGACCCACGACTACAGTAACCGCGATTGCATCGTGCATGGGTTGACTATTGACACTTTGTGAATGCCAGAACGTGCCGTGAAATAAAGACCGCATTGAATCTCGAGAAAGATAAGGCCAGAAAACAAGGCAAAGCTGGAAAACAAAGCAAGGCTGGAAAACAAAGCAAGGCCGGGAAACAAAGCAAGGCCGAAAAACAAAACAAGGCGTACCGGTGCGTCAATTCAACTTTGATATCGTGTCTGAACTGCAGCAATTTGAGCGCAAGCTGTGAGTATAAAACTCGGAAATCACTTGCGGCGGCACGTTCAAAATGAGGTTTTTAATTGCATTGATAAAATGGTGCAAATTAGTATGCTTTATTTACACGACGCTGTCTCTCTATTGAACAATTTAAGTTAACATTTATTAGTAATCTACCTCTATAAATTTCGTTTAAGAAGTTCTTATTTTTACCGAAGTTCTTCTAACCTTCTATTATCGAAAAATCCCACTCACTACCGCTATGTAGGTGTGTTATTGAGATATGTACACGTAAACGTTCCTTCCAATAGTCTTTGCAGGTTATAAAGTCAATGTCGTCGAAGCTAAGAAGAAGTTAAGTACATGTATTACTTCCCACACCACGAGCCCTCACAGTAAACACATCTACGCATGGCATACCTATTTTTTATTTTCGTGCAGTTTACCCTTTCTTTCGGGGAACGAGATATGTCCTGCAGACAGCTTTTATTGTCAACTGCCGCTCTGAATTTTTAATTTAAAAAAAGCCTGTTAAAACGAACCTGGCGTTTATCAGTGTCACTATTACCAATATTTTTCATCCGGAACCCTTCTCCGCGTCGTCTCTCGTTTTCGTTGATCCGCCGCCTAAAGAAAAAAAGTCACGCAAAAGCACCAGCCACATAGGGTAAGGGGAGATCTGGCTTGTAATAAGGCTGCTGGATACGGAGAATATTCGATTTTAGGTTGCTGATATTTCTTATGTTATCGTAGTTTAGAGTATATTTAGCATATCAGGGAAATATTATTTGTTAGTGAAGATGACTTTTCAGGGAACCCAAAAAATTTGTTTGTTATAGGTAACTGTTGAGTGTTTTGGACCTTATCTCGCACAACGTGTGACAGCGTCCTAATCATTTCAAACTAACCGATCAATAAAAACGCCCATCAATTTATTCATTCACTCAGTGTGAGACCACAAAAATAAAAGAATACTCTTCATTAGGAAGTTCCATACAGAAACTGCAGCACCGATGTCTTTGTCTCTGATTTTTCACCGGCTGGGTTCCCTAGACCGTCACCCATTCATTTATGGTTTAATCGGTCTTGTATATGGCTCTCTTGTTTCCGACAACGTAATTTCATGTCACGATTTCAGCTGCTGTATTTTTGATAAGGTTATGGAAACGGTTTGCGCTAAAATGAATTACTTTACTTTTTGCATGCTGGTGTCCCACGTAAAGAACATACTGTCAACATACTTTTGTCCTTGCATGTCGGGTATTTTGGGTATTCTGGTTCATGCAGGTTCTGATCAGCAAATATTTTCCTTAATCAAGTGTTTCTTCGAGACGCCTCATAGTTCCCTGGCCGGCGCGCATGCTTCCCGTGGCAAGTGCGTCCATCTTCGTGAAATAAACACTCATGCAAAGATTATTTCCTAGGAAGTTATAAATGGCTGGACCGTAAATCATCAGAACTGACACACTTACGTAATTGTTTTACTTCGGTCAAATTTGCACGTCATCTGTTCCTTTCAGAAAACCCTGGTCCCTCCCTGCGACTTTCATTTTAAGCGATTAGTCGATCTTCTTATTTCAATGGACGAGATTTTATAAAACTTACTTTTTCTCACATTTCCTTGTAACACATTTTTTTTGACCTGTATGCCTTTGAGACTGAGTTTCGTTAAAGAGACGTAAATGTGCCAATTTATTGACCTTGGGGAAATGGGGAAACAGAGAGAACGAAGATGACTGTGGGAATCGTCCTGTTATCTAAGATGCAATCTGAAACTCGATCACGTTTCAGCAAGGGTTGTAGTCAGCTCTATTGCGGTTATAATCCTTCAGATTTAAGTGGTTGCGCGGAGGCTGACAGATGTTCTTGTAGATGTCGGATATTTTCTGGAGGCCACCTCGCCTACAATGTTTTTTTCCCCTTATTACCTGACAATGATGATATAAATACGAAGCCATAACAATTGATAGAGCAAGCAAATTTCAACGATAATCGTAAGCCTTTTTCTTTACTTCAAGGACAACTGTCATTCTTATTACGCCGTTGCGACTTTGGCGCGAGAATATGATCAAATCCTATCGACTTGTAACAGAAAGAACCAAATGTATTTGACTGTTGATTTACATCGAGACAGGTGTTAGTAAGGATAATTGTATATATGGTTTAGATATGGAGAGATATATATCGAGGATGTCTCTACTGTGCACATTGAATTTGGGTGCTGCTGCTGTTAGATTTGTGGCCTAAAGAACAAAAATGTGTTGAAAGCAAAGTTGTTTAGTTCCCTGTTCTCTGTCCTCTGTCTTAGTTCTCTCTACATTTGATATAGGTAATCAAAAGAATATGAATCTAACATTAATATTAAAACTATCCTTTGGCATGATGGAATAACAATTGCAAAAGTCTACAGGAGGAATTCTATTACTCTTTCAGCAGTGAGCATATTGTTTTTAGATCTAAAACGAGTAAGCAATTTACTGCAACTTCTGTACAAAACAATGGTTAGTATCTTTGTTTCGTGCCTCGTTTATGCTCTCTCAAAAATTGATGTAAAACACAAAACGGGCAACATCGACTTGTCTTTTGTTTAAAAAATCATAACTTTTGCTAATGATATACGGTAAGCGACAATGTCTTGCTGGGAGTACCTAAAATGGTATATTAATTCCCCAACTAATTGATAAATTGTCATATTTGCATAGAATATTGTGGCATATTTTAATAAGTCAACTTTCCGCACAAACTGTGAAGCATGGTAATTGTCTTAAGCAAATGAAACGGGCCATTTCACTTACATTGAGAAATAATGCACCAAACTCTTCGTCTTGACTGCATAAAAATAAAATTTAGTGGCTGAAGTAATATCGAGTTTTTTTAAATTCCACAAAAAAAAAGATTGGATTTATGAAAACGCCACTTGTTCATTCGATTTTAGGGTTGTTAGCTTTCAATACTCTTCAAAGATTTCTGAAAGAGTTATAAAGTAAATTTTAAGTAGGGATGTTTTTACGGTGAGTAGCTGTTGTTCCGTCGCGTCAGCTGCGTTGTTATGCAAATGAAAAGTGTTCTGTATCTAATAGCTTGAAAATCTTCCTGCACGCTTTGATTGCCTAACACAAGACTTGTATCTGAAAATTTTACATCACACAAATTTACTAGTGTCGCATTTTGAGACCCCGCACGATTCCAGTCACGAATCCTCCTCTGAAACAAACAAAAAAACATGAGACTGATATCGATTTATGTATGAAGATAACCAGTATTACTTAGGCTCATTTCAAGGCAATTTCAATGTGAGTATCTAGATGTGTAAAATCGCAATTAGAAGCAGAAATAATTGTTAATAACCAAATGTCAGTTTCGATATATATATATGTAGTTATGATGTTTTGTGGTTAAATGAAATAAAATATTCACCCTAAAGTCAAGCTCGATCACTTTGAATTGGAAATTACTTTTTCATCAGATGGTTTAACCTATATGAAACCCCCAAAAAAAGAAACAAAAAAAAAGGTGGAAAGGTTTCTAAATGGTAGTTATTTAAAGAATCTTATTTCGTGCGGAAGGTTGGTCGGCCACAATCACTTAGGTACACAGGTCAACGCGTGATAAAATATCCCGGTAGCGTGGGCCGTGATGCGGGGAAATTTTTACGACCGGAGTGTTTTCAGAGACGGGTCCAAATTCGAGGACTTAATGACAAATGTGAACCAGCGGTGACTTATTTCGGAACCTCCTGGTGTTATCCTATCCAGCCTGACAGAGCGTATCGACCTAATTAAACCGACGTTCGCTGATCAGCACAATCCAGTTTTCAGAGGTCGGTTAATCGAGAGGTCAATAACAGCGCTATCAATATTCAGCGCTAGATTGTTCTTCAGAGTTATTTTCGCGACGACTAGGTGTCAACAGAACATCTCAAAATGAACTCTACAGCCACATTCAATTCTACAGCTGCATTCAATTCTACAGCCAACGATTCAGTCGCCCAGAGTGTTTATCCTTACATCGCTGAGCCATTGCTCTCAACTTTTTTCCGTCTTTTTGTATTCGTGCTTATCACGCTGGCGAGTGTTGTAGGAAACGCTGTGGTCTGCAGAGCCATGTTCTTGTTGTCTTACCATCAACTGCCTTTCTCTTACTATCTGGTCACCAATCTGGCTGCCGCGGAAATGATCAGTTCGCTGTGTTTTCCATTCTACTTTGTCTACGATTGGATGCAAGCGTGGCCTTTCGGTGAAGCTGCATGCAAACTGGTGTTTCCGGTGCAAATGACGGCCACGTTAGTGGTGACTTACACTCTGGCTTTGATCGCAGCACGAAGGTACCGAGTAATTGTGACATATCGCGGTCAATTAGGGCCACTACCAAAGAGAAAAATGTTTGTAGTGTTGAGTCTGTTGTGGAGCGCAGCCTTGACAGTTGTCGCACCATCTGCTGTCGTGCATAGTGTTACTAAGTATGGAACAAGTCACTTTTGTGTAGCTTTGTTCCCAGGCGATACAACTATCCATGCACCAACGCACACCCGTTACTCGATTGTTCGTCTCTTTCTAAGCTATATTGTTCCATATCTCATAATCGTCATATCGTACGGTGCTGTTGCTCTGAGACTGAAGAGACACATGGCAAGGGCTACTGCTGCGCGCAAAAGTGATTCCACAGAGGACGGAACACAGCTACAAACAGATGAACACGTGTGTATCCATCTTCAAAGACTGGAAATTGTTCATAAATCGTCGCAAAAGAACGGATCCGAGGGTAACGCGAAATATCTAATCGCGAAAATTACGAATGGATGCTGTTGGAGACAAGGTTCCTTGGATGATCGCGGTTCTCGAGGCCAAACATCGAAGAGAGCGAAACATTCGCAACATACAGATGCAAACGTGACAGATCTAGAGCTGGATATCCTAAGAATGATATACGTGATCATTATAATTTTTATCATTTGCTACATTCCGATCCAAGTTTCGTTTATCTACGAGCAAGTAAACGGCGGGCCATCAACTTGGCCTTATTACCCAATCGTCAGGAGATACATGTTTTTATTGCATTGTCTTCCAGGCGCGTTCCATCCCATTTTGTACGGCACCATGAGCAAGTTTTATGCGAATGCGTTTGCAAAAGTAGTGATGTGTAAGAAATAGTTGACTTGCGATTGTTAAAGCATTTTTTTGAACGTTCAAACCTTCATTTCCCGTTAGATCTTACGACTACAGCATAAATCACGACAGGGTAATTAGTAATTCTCCTGACCTCGCTTGGGTTCGATTTCCTAAATCCGGAAATCTTAACTAAATGCCTGGCGTGTATAACATGATTAACTGTCATTGCGAGATTCCCGATTCCGGCTTCCCACGCCTTGACAAAGAACCAAAGAAAAAATTGCTAAAATTGGTATACTTATTCAAAGCCTCATTGTCCTCTTCGATTTTTTTTTCCTATTAATAGAGAAGCATATGTAACCTCCATTAGTAGTTGAAGGAATTATTGGCCGTTCGACTGACCGGGCGCAATTGATTCAGACAGCCATCCGTGGGCGAAAATATTGCGCCAGCTGCTTTCCTTTATCGCGCGTATCGCACGCATCGCGCGTATTCTCGCTACGTGGCTTCGCATCAAGTGAACGTTCTAAAGCAAATATAAAACAACAGGAGGGACGCGATTAATTGAAGTAACGAAATAACAAATGACCAGAAAAGGTTCGTTAAGCATAAAGTTAAAGCAGTAGTGATTTATTTAGGCGTCCATTGTAACGTATTTAATATCACATGTAAAAAAGCAAGCCGAGGCTATTAAAAATGAATTTAGTTTACATTAGCAGTGATATTAGCATAAAAGGTGGATAAGGAGGCTTATACTGTCTGTGAATACAGACAAGAAAGTTTGCCAGAGGGAAGTCTGCCGCACACTCAAGGTTGTTGAAAATAGTGTTCTTAAAATCTGACTGCTTCAGTCTCTCATTGTCGGTCTTAATGGGGTTCACCGTTAGCCGTAAAACGGCAAATTTTAACCGTTAGTCGTAAAAAATGTTAACTGTAAAGATATTTCTTTCCACACAAACAGAAAAAAATGTAACCTTGCGATGCAAAATGGCCAAAATTTTAACCATTAGCCGTAAAAGCCAACACCCCATTGAGACTCTCTTATATTCAGATTTTCACACGTGTTATACAAATGATTGAAGTGAGAAAAAGCGGGCGTGGCGTCGAAAACGCCATTAATTTGCCAGTGTTTTCAGAAAAGGTAGCGGAAAATCTTCAATATACTTTTTCCTTGATCAAAGTTCAAGATCTTGACTCTGTAGAGTAAGCACTCGCGGTTGAGAGAATTTCAACCAATTCTATAATCTCGCCGTTTCAAAGTTATGGTGCCGCTAAGTTCGTTGTTGAAATATCAGCTGCGACAAGGTACTGTTTATGGAAACGCCTTATTCGAAAAAAAAGAATAAACCATATTTTTTTTATGACAAAAATTTTCAATTTGTTCGCAGCTATTGTGCTGAATTTGAGAACAGGTCCTCGTATCGATGAAGAATGAACGAATTCAAGGCACTATCAAACGAATACTCTCTTGATACTATTCATCATAATGTTACCAGACGCTAATTGAATGTTAGCTCCGTTTATCTCGCAAATGGCCCCGTGTGATTTTTAAAAATTTCGTACCTGCTAGACTTACTTAACAGCGCGTCCATATCCCAAAAAAAATCCTGAATTTGTGAAAAAAAAATCATTCGAGTGTTATCTGATAACTTCCCTTAAAACGAGTTAATGGGATTTACCATTAGGCAGCTGATATCTCGGCTAATAACGTCTGCGGCTGAGAGATTGTTTTCAAAATGAATATTTGGCGGAGAAGCAAAAAGTTTCGGAGGCAGATATGAAATTTTGAGGATAATCTCTCAGCCAAGGACACTATCTGCAACATACCAGCAATTTATTCATTTTAACCTTCCCATTAATTTTCATCACGAAACTTTTGACAGTAAATTTTTGTGACTTTTTTGTACTTTTCGGAGCAGAATTTGAAACCAGCTTTTTATAGTCACTACCACTGGACTCTACCAAATGAGTTCGTTTTTCTCCCTGTTGAGTAATAAAGATGACAAAACTCTTTAGCTGGCTTTTCGCTTTTTTTCTTTTTTTTTTAATAGGTGGGTTGTGACAGCCCATATATGCATGAGCATAGCGACTGCCATGCCGCGCCCTCTATTTCGAACGTATATATTTTCATCTGTACAAATTGTATATAAGGTAGACATACGCGACATAAACTCGACTGGTGCATGTTACATTGTTTTATTTTCAGAAATTACCTTATTATAGAATACTAGCGATGCACTTTATTAAAGCGATTTCAAAAAACCCACTAATTGAATGCATTTTAATTTACGTGGACAAAGATTTAAATCTGACACCAACTAACATCACCTCTTACAGCACCTTTATTTAGATAGCGAAACTATATTTGCTCAAAGTCGAGAAAATGCAGAATCCAGGGGAGTGTTATATCCATTCATAGCGCATTAACATGATAACAAGGAGCTATCAATTACATAGTTGGTTGGAAAAGTTGCGTTTTTTTCTTTTAGATGTGTATGTCGAGACATTTGTATGGCAACAAATTCGCAAATTCGAAAGTAAGGCGTACATCGTTTTTAAAAATTTCGCTTTATTTTATGTACATAAACTTAACTTTCTGCAAATGAGCGTTCACTCTGTGTAACGTAAACTTTCTTCGCGTTGTCAACGTACATCGTTAATTTCCTTTTTAAGTAATAGATAAGCTTTGTCTGTGATCTTTCCTGATTTTAAACACACAGGAAGCGGCTGGAGCACGAAAGAAGTGTGGGGAGAAACACGAGACGTAGTTGTGTGTTTCCCCACACTTAATGAATGAACGACAGCCCAATTTCCAGGAACGTGAAGATTGCACGGGATGACAGTGCCGTAAAACTCGGTTTCTATGACTGATGTGGTCTTCCACTCAACGCATCGAAAAAGTTATTAGAGCAAGTTCTTAGTTGTTCACTCGAAAGGTGGCCGATGCAACTTGTGAGGCTTGCTTCAATGCGACAACCGGAGATCCCCATGATGAGCTAGCCGCGATGAACCTCAGCATGATCGTAATCGTTCTGTCATTGTCACGATTTGTATGAATTTTAACAGCTATGCCAGTTTGGTTGTAATTTTCATCATTCCTGTCTTGATCTGTTTTGTTTTTGAACACGAAACTATATATTCTATACGAGGGTTAGCTGTGTTTGATTTTTATTACCTTACGTAAGCTTACAATCTAACTAAGCTTAAAAAGCCGATTAACTCTGAGAGATCATTCCGTTTTCTCTTTAAGGATTTTCGTCTCTGCTCACCTTATAACAACGTCAATTACGGCGCTTAACATGTTTACAAACCTTTGTTTGGTTCTTCTGTTGCTATATGTTGCTAATATGGTAACCCTGGGTGAACGTGCATTTCAGGCGGCTGCACCGCATCTATGGAATGAGCTACCATTGCAATTACGCAATATTGGATCTGTAGAAATTTTTAAGAATTCAATTAAGACTTTTCTTTTCAGGCAATTTTTTCAATAGTGGTTAAATTATGAATTGTATATAGCCAAGTTAACTGTAATATGTAATTACTTTTCTAATTATTTGAGATTTTAATATTTAGAGACAGTAATTGTAAAGCGCTATTGATCTGTCATTGTAAATAGCGCTCTATAAGAAGTAAATTATTATTATTATATTATTATTTGCTACTTGCCGGCTCGCTTGTTACGAAATTTCACTTTCAATTAACGAAAAAAAGTTAGAGAGAAGTCTCGGAAAAGGTCACACATAGTACATTTTGGCAGATGGCGTGACAGCTTTTGCTCAGCTCCGTGTTCTGTACTCTGATAGAACACGCTCTTTCAACCAATGACAGAGCGTGTTATATCCGAACTTTAAGATAAAAGAAGGGATTACTTTTGACTTTCTCTCTCAGTACGCAAGTGATGGCGTAAATCACTCTAGACTCTCTGTGACCCAGTGGAAGAGTAGTATAGCTTCGACTTCTTGTGGAGGCTCAGAGTTTTTCTTTGTCTCAGTCTCGTAACAAGATCGAGTAAAGGCTTTCTCTAGATATGAATTTTCTTGGATGTATTTCATATTATAAATTATACGAAGGTTTTTACCATTTAGCCTTATTTATTTTTCCAGCATTAAGCGACTGTTAACATTACAATGAATACCTGAAAAACCCTCTGAGAGGGTAAAGTTTTCATATAATTATCGATTTTATTTTCATTGTCATAGCTGTTAAGATTATTACTATTATCAGCAGTTGAGTTAGCTGCTGTCCCAACCCATCAGCGACCACTATGTTAACTACTTATTTGGCGTAACCAACGGCCGACTGTCATATAATATGCAAATATTTTCTAATTAACGATGAGGAAAGAATTTTTAACTTTGGTTTCGTTAGTTATTACTATTTTCTCTGAGTTAAAAGTTCTTTCTCTGAAGCAAGTCTGCTCCGTTTAAACAGTGCAGATACAATTCAACAGACTTGCTTCTGCAGCATGTGAACAATAACCTTTCCTGGCCTTTTAACATACAAGTTGTCCCTATGGTTTTAGTTCATTGTTTAAAGTTAGGTTATGAGATTTGACAAATCTACTAGCTGGAGAGTAAAAACCCTTACCAGAATACCAAATCTTCCTGGATAGAGCGCTTTTCGATTGAGCGTCACTAAACCAAAGACAAATAAATCAAAACAGCTAATCAGAATGAACCTAAATACCCTCGGGAGCCTGTAAGAACTTACAGTTAAGACAAGCGAGCTGTCTAAAGCGCGGGAAAGCACCGTTGACCAAGTTGCGATTATTTATGGTTTCGTATCTGATTGGTTGAGAAGGCGGCACGGGTTTTCTGGATCAGTCAAGGAGCTAGGTAAAGTAAGACCGATACAACGTCGGATTACTATCGACATTCAATTGAAAATTCCTCTGATTCATCTTGAATTTTCTGTAGCTCGTAGGGAGGGTTAACAGCTAGACTTTTAACTAGAGGGTTTACTATGCACAGTTTTTGTTCTTCCACCATTATCTGCTCAAAGTTTGGACATGATTTTCAAGCGGAAAGGAAAGGTACAAAGAAACTTAAAGGGTGTTTCAAGGAAAATGGTTCGCCCTCAACAATTGGCTGGACTAGAAATCGTATGAAGTCTTGATTCGATCTAATGAAAAATAATTATTAGATACGTAAGAAATCTAATTATGAAAGATTCATAAAATTTTATGGAAGAAAACTAAAATGAAAATACTTACAATTCAATTGGTAAACGATATGACTTAATTCTTTGGTGTTATTTAGCCGAATTGTTTTCCGATCAAAGAATAACCAGCGCGTGAGCAAACAATTTAACAGATAAGCAAAGAAAACGTGCTTATAAACCGCTTGTAAACTGGTCAAAAACTGTTTCATTTATAGATTAAAAGTTAATTTTCTGGCTAAAATGGCTACGCCTGAAACCGCTAATCACAAATCAGTTATTAATCAAATGTCAATCAACGCGTCTATTTGAACAGGAACAACTATTGTCATTGAGACGCGATATAAAAAAAAATTACATTTCCATGACAAGGGCCTTTGCCAACAATACTTTTATATTAAAATAGCAGTTTTTAGACTTGATATCAAGGGCTGACTTCACAGCTTCAACGACTGTTTTGTGCAATCTTACCCATGGGGAAGAGCTCAGTTGCTATGTCAGCCTTTCCTAACATTTAATTCATCCAAGTTTGTGAGACTATATTCAAAGCC